CAGAGTCTTGGTCAAACCCAGTCCTTACTGGCTCTGCTGGGAGCCCAGACTGGGTAACACTGAGCTTTTGTGCAGGTTACACCTCTGTGCTTTTTCAGTGGGACTGAAATGCCCCCTGTGCTGGCTCTACCCTTGCACAGAGCAGCCTGGCTCTCCCAGTTCAGCCGTGAAGCACGTTCAGAGCTGCAGCTCAGGTGCGGCTCCGTCGCCGGTTATTTATAGCACGAGCTCCCAGCGTGGCCGTGGGCTGGGAATAACTCACTGAGGAGACACTCCTCAAAATCATGTGTCCGTGCAGCATCGTCGTCTCAGGCTTCCTGCATGGGGTGTAGGGTATGTGTTGGTTCTGTGCCAGCCCAGATCTGCACAAAAAGGCGTTTACTCCAGCTCTTTTCTAGCCCGAGGGGTCAGCTGGCTTGTCATGGCACAGCTGCACAGCTCTGTCCCTGGCAGGACTGCCAGCCTCCTGCAGGGAGCGTGGTGGGGATCCCTTCATGTGGGGGCACGGTTTGGGCTTCGTGAAACCCACCCCATGGAGAGCAGCCCTTCCCCTTTGTAGCTGGGGTGTGGGGAGATGTGGATGCTGGCAGGCAGGGTTGTGCTGGGGGAGCAAGGCAAAGGAACCTGCTGGCCAGGCTGGGACCAGTGATGGTGAAACTCATCTCGTTAATGAACGCCTGGGGCTGGAAGCGTTAGATGCTGTTGGGGTGTTTCCACTTCGCTTTATCTCTGACTTGGCATTGTATTTCCATGCTGATGCAAACAAGTGGAAGAATAGATAGTGGCTAATTCACATCGATCGCGGCGGTGCCGGAGCTCCCTGAGGTGAGCTGGAGCTGGCAGAAGCTCCACGGGGCCAGCACGTCCCTCCCCGCCGGGTCCCGGTGTGGGGCTGCAGGGCACATCACAGGGGACACAATGTCCTCGCTCCCACATCCTGAGGCTTCTCCCAGCCTTGGTGGCTCAGCAGCTGGAGGACGCTTTGCCAGGGCAGGTGCAGCATCTCACACAAACCCTGCAGCGGGGCAGGGCAGGGGCATTTTGCAGACTCCGATCTGAAAGTGCTGCTTGGCAGGAGTGGGGACAACTGAGTGCCCCTGTATTAGATCTAGGAGGAAAGGCATTTCACAGATTGTGTCTGGGACCTGGGACCATCTGGCTCTTCCAGGGAAGCACCAACGTGGGGCCATGGATGCTGTGGCCATGATGAGCAGAGGACCCGAGGCCACCCAGCCCTGGCTTCTTGCAGCCATCTTGATGAGGATGATGAGGACACAACTCCAAACTGCCAGTGTGCAAAGCAAAAGCAAAGGAAATAATGAAGTTCATCTTCCTCCCCATTCCAGCAGGGAAGACAGGCAGTCGGTATCCTGGGAAGGCTGCTGTGAGCCCGTAGGGGCGTGTGCTGATTCCAAGGAGTTGGCCTTGTGCTGCAGCCAGGCCTCACTGGGCTTGGTGGGGCTGCAGACCAAAAGATGGGAGTGAACTGAGTCCTGCTTTGCTGGTTCCAACTGGGCTGGGGAAGGTGAGGCTGCAGGCAGTGGTGAGGAGTCCATGGGGACAGCTTTTCTCTGGTGCTGCTGCCAGGTGCCATGGAAGGGTGACTGCCCTGCACTCCTGTGCCTCCCACAGACCCCAGGTTCCTTTAAAAATGTTAACACAAACCTTTCCAGGGAATTGGAGTCACCCGGGGCAGGCCACATGTTGCACAGTGGGGTGGGCAACAAGGAGGGGTCCTGGGAGCAGAAGTGCCGGTGCACCAGGGAGCTGTTGGCTCCTGGTAGTGGTGGTTTCCCTCCCAAATAACATGCAAACAGACTTGGTGTGGAGTTAAAATCCTGCTCAGCCTGGAGAACGTGTTGTGTGATCGCTGGCCAAGGGGAAGCACTGGCATTTGCCTGACTCCCAGCCACAGACCTGAGTCTCTTGTGTCTCCGGCTGTACGTAGCTGGGGGCTCACACATCATAAAGCATGTTGTCTTTGGCAAATCCCATGTTGATGGCTCACCCCGGGTTTTTTTGAGGCTGGATGTATCACTGTCTGGGCCTCCTGTCTCCTACCCAAAAGCTGGCTGCATCCTGACCCCACAGGGAGCTACAGCACCCAGAATAAACCCCAGGCTTTCTGCTCCTTGGTCCTGTGCTGGTGATGCCCAGGTGGTGCTGGGGCAGCAAGGGCTCCTGCCCCACCTGGTGTCTCAACCTTTCTCCCCAGGGCTCTGCCTTCATCCCACTGTCCCCAGCCAGCACAGCCACAAGGGACCTGTTACAGGCTGACAGAGCTATAGCAGCCCCCTGGTTTCCTTGGAGACCAGAATGTCCCCCTGGCAGTTTTGGGGCTGCAGGAGGGACAGAATTGGTGTCCTTCAGTGCTCCAGACTGAGGACAGCAGCAGTTTGGGGACTGGTTTACCATCAGACTGAGACCCTTCTTGCTGACAGGCAAGAACATCTGGAGGAAGGCAGGCACTCAGGCAGCAGCACCTTCAGCCATCTCATTTTCATTTCCCTGAGCCCTTTTAGCTGTGCTTTTTGCTGTGCTGTGCCAAACAGCATCCCGGTGCTGCTGGAGCACTAATATCCATCATCCGGCCGTGCTCTGTAGAGCACTCAGAAATTTTGTGCTATTTTCAGTTAGTTTTCCAAGTTGAGCTTATTGGCTCATGGGCATCTGCTCCCAGATGGAGAACATGTGGCTGATTCCTGCAAGGGAAGGGAACAGCCCTGCTCATAAAGCAGCATGGGGGATGAATGAGGGAATCTCTTCCTGGAGCCTGCAAGATGCTTTTGGGGCTGTGCAGAGCTTGGGATTTTAAAGCTGCTCTGAAAACCTGTGAGCAGAACTGGTGTGGCAGCGTCACTTATGGTGGGAGGTAACCTCCCCTCAGATGGCTGATTAGTCTTGGGGAAAGTACAGTAACCTGGGGGCAGGATTAAACCTCTGCTCAGCTGCTGTTTGCACTGCTCTGTGCTTCCCTGCCCTGCTTTACTTTGGAAAGCAAGCAGCAAATAATAAATTTTCCAGGGTGATTTCCTGGGCAAGTAGTCATTGTGCTGAAACTGGTGAAGCTCTTGGGGTTCCTGAAAATCTCCCTGTATCGAGCAGCCTCCATGAGCACTTGCAAAATGGAATGGTGTGCAAGGAGGAGAGAAACCCAGAAAGAAAAGGAAATTTGCAAAGCAGCTTTTTCAGCCTTGTGTTCCCAAGAGGAACGTGTGAAGGGCTTTCCAGTCCCAGGCACTTGGTGCTGCAGCAGTGACCAGTGGGGCGAAGCCGCCTCCGCTCGGCTCTCGCTCTGCTCATCGTTGCGTCCAGGGGACAGAGGTCCTGGTTTGTTTTGTTGCTACGATTCTTCTTCCCTTGGTGGGAATAAAGCAAATTTTGTTTGGTTGAGATTCTCTATAGCTTCAAAGGCAAATCAAATCTGGGTTGCCAGCTTCTTTTTGTGTTGCAAGAGATGCCTGTTTTCCATCCGAAACCATCCATGTTTTGCAGCTCAATAGCACATCCTAGACAATGGCTTTAGAAATCAGACGCCTGCATTTTGGACCCACAGTGCTGAGGCAACGCCAAGTGGTGCACGGGGTGCCAGAATTCCTGCACATGGGGAGAGTGAAGAAGGAGGAAGAAAAACTTGCTCCGATGGGATGTTTCCAAGGAGATCATGGTAATGATCTTCCATTTCCATGTAGCTTTTCATCCCCTTGCGGAGAGTTCTTACGTTACGTGCGTCCTGTGCGGAGCGTGCGGCGGCTGCCCTGGAAATGCACGTGGTGGTGGGGAGGCTCTGGCATTGCAGAGTGGGATCACCTTGGGGTGGGAGGGACCCCTGAAGCTGTGGGGATTCTCAGGGATTTGGGATGTCCCTGCCCCTTTGGCAGCACCCTGCATTTGGTGTCTGAGGCTGCTGGCCTTGCTGTGACCTTGCTGCTGAGTAACAGCACCTGGATACACCTCGATCCTTCCTCAAATCCATGTCACACGTGCCATGTGCCTCACATCAGCCAGTGTCCAGCTTGGAGTAGCTCTGCAGATGGACATGCTCTGGCACTTGGATCATTGCAGCAAGAACCCTGTTACAAGCTGTTCAGGTCTCTGCAGACTCAGCTGAGAGGAGCAGCCGGGGTTTAGGGTCGGTGCCGGAGCAGCTGTGTCCCACCGTGTCCCACACCAACACATGGCACAGTTTTCCTGGCTTATCCATCCCTTTTTACCCAGTTGGGGCTGATTGCTGAGCTGGGGAGGCTGTGTTAGCCCTGAGAGAACCACAGGGCTGTGCAGAGGGTCAGCAAAGCTGCATCTGGAGCATGCAGGGGGGTTGATTAATACATGATATTCCCTCATCCTTCCGAGTGCCTCTCGGTTTCCAGGAGGAGGAAGGCAGATCTGCAGTTCTGCTTCTCCGCTGTGTAGAGATGAGTTTGCAAAAGCCACAGTTTCTTCAGCTTTTTATTTTTTAATTCCCTCTTTTCCTTCCCTGGAATTTTTCCCTGGCCTGATGAATTTTTAAACAAAAACATGGTGAGGAGAGAACAAGAGAGAGAGGGAAAACCCAGCAGAGGACGTGGGGAAAAAAGTCTGCTTTCAAAACCAGAGTGACTTGAAGTGGAAGTGAAAGTTTAGGGTGTGTTTTTAATTTTAAAATTCCAACTAATTTAAAGTCACTTTGTTGACAGGAGAAAATACCTTTCTTAATGCTTTTTTTTTTTTTAAAATAAATCCCAGTTTTACAAGTAGAAGCTCTTGGTTGAAAAATCCTGTGGAATTATGGAAGTAAAAGGTGACTGCTGTGCCCTTTGATTCCTCCCTTGCTGTGGTGGGGTTTGTGCTCTGTGGCAGTGGGGGGCTGAGGCTGCGTGGGGGAACTGACCCCACGTAGATGCCTCTGGATGCCTGCCCATCTGTCAGGGTTGGTCACCTGGGCATGGTGACTTTGCCTGGGGACAGATGTGGTTCCTTGCCTGTGCAGGGCACAGAGCAGAGACAGCAGTTTGGGTGCAATGGGCCTGAGTTCGGCCCAGATCGGAGCCCTGCAGCTCTTTGCCCTTGTCATGGTCCTGGAGAACCAGCTGTTCAAGGCAGAAGAAGGCAAAGGAGGCAAGAGGGAGCACAAGGATGGAGAGGGAAGGTGGAAGCAGCGAGGGCCCTGACTCAGCCATCCCAAACCCTCATCAGCAGGAGGGTTCATCCTGCTCCATACATGGAGTTTGTGCCTGACGGCCCTTCCTGTGCTTCTGACCTGCACAAATCACCTGGGGGCTTTGAATGGGTGATGTAGCTGTGGGAGACTATGGACACCTCTCTGTGCTGGGCTTCATTCCCTGCAGGAACCTTCCCCTGCCATGTGCCGCTGATGCTGGGGCAGGAGCTGAGTGCCTGTGTTGGAGACAGGCTGCTGCTTCTGCTCCCACTTGGGTTGGGCTGGTTTCTCATGGCCATCAGCTTGGCAGGTAGGTTGGGTGTTGTTAGAAAAACAGCTTAAATCCATTGCCTTTCAGTTCTGCAGAGCAGAGAGGTCTTCTAGCAGATCTCATTGTGCTTCATACTGGAGCAGGAAAAGAAACATTTTATGGTAATTTTTTCAATGACTTTCCAATTTTTTTTCCTTGCTAAGCTGTCTGCAATCACTTACAGTGTTCCTGAAGGGATTAATTACTCTCTGGAGCTCATTGTGTGTATTTCATATTCAGAGCGGTTGGATGCTCTGCCTGGCTTGGACCGAGCGATGGGTCACATGGTGTTTCTTATTTCATCCTTTCCCCCCCCGTTCTGCTCTATCTGTCAGGCTCCCGGTGTGAGCGCTCCCAGACCGGTGGTCGCTGGGTCGCGTCGCCGCACGTGATCGCGGCGAGTTCCCTGCTCCGCGCTCCTTGCTGGGGGAAGCGCAGCCAGGAGAAGACAAATTGCTTCCTTGTTTGAGTGACTTTTGGCTGCTGCTTTCCACCAGGCTGTGGGGTTGGCTCAGCTCTTCCTGCAGGCGTCGTGGCTCCGGGCTGTGCATCGTCAGGGCTTGGAGCGGGAGCAGAGCTGGGGAGAAGAGCTCGGAGCACATCACGGTGCTGCTTCCCACGGACCAGAGCTTGTGTGGTGCAGGCAGAGCTGGGACATCTTGGAGGGGATAGAACACATCTGGACATGTTCCTGTGTGATCTGCCCTAGGTGTTCCTGCTGCAGCAGGGAGGTTGCACTTGATGATCTGCAGAGATCACTTCCAACCCCTATGGATCTATGAATATCAATGATACTGGAGAGCCCACCATGCCCTCCTGGGAGGGTGGTGTCCCAGGAGGGAACTGCCTGTGTAGCAGCATTGTCTCCAGCCCAGCAGGGGGTATCCCAACCCATCCAAGCTGGGGCACATTGCTTGGCAGGCTCTTGGCATGCCTGGGGGTTCCTGCAGTGTGCAGGGACAGGGGCTTGTTGCTGTGCAGGGTCCGGGAGTGAGTGGCTGCTCTCCTAGTCAGTGTCCAAGTGAGCCCATGTGCCTGGGGGCTCTTGGCTGCTGTCACCATGTCACTCAGCCCCTGGTGTTGGTGGGGGAGCAAAGATGGCCACAGGAGCTGGCACCTGGTGGAGAGTCCAGAGGCTCTGCTGAAATCCCTTCTGATGCCTTTTTCAGAGCGTTTCCTGCCCTGCCCATCCCTGGCAGTACCAAGGCTGCAGTAAAACTCAGACTTCTGGAGTGGAACAGCACTGAAATGGAATCCTGAAGCATGTCAGGGTCCCTGCCCATAAGGCAGTTGAAGGATTTGAGGTGAAGAGTCCTCTGGGCAAGGGTCCTGTGAGCTTTTGGAGTGGAGAGCAGGGACCCGGTGGTGGATCCCATGCTGGTGGCACAGAGCTTTCTGTTCCCAAGCATCCTGTTCCCTCCTGAGGCACACCTAGATTTCCTGAAGGAGACAAGACCTTCTTTCTCTGCAAACCACCCTTAATGGGAGAAATGCAAATGTAGCTCAAGAGCACCTTTCCTTGGTGGTGGGAACCCAACGAGGGCACTGTGAGAGGTGGAGTAGGTCCAGAAGCAGCTGGAGGATGGTGCAGGTCCTGCCCCTGAGCACACTGAGCCCTCACTGTGCCCTCCCCATGGGGAACTGTCAGAGAGAGCGGCCTCTGGAGCTGCAGGAGGAGTTGCCTGTGCTGAGGGTCAATGGGGGAGACCAGTGCTGCCCCAGTGTCTCCCCAGCATGGGGATGTGGGGCAGCCCTGCGAGGTGGCAGGATGAAACCCTGGGCGTTGTCACTGCTGAGCCAGTTGTGGGGCTGCAGGATGGGAAGAGGTACGTGGGGCTGGCACTGCTCCTGGCTCCAGTGGGGGAAGGCACCTTTCCAGGACAGGTGTGGAGGAGCTGGCAGAGGTGGTGGCAGCGTTGTTGGGGTGGGCAGGGTGCTGCTGGGTGAGACAGGGGCACAATGTGGGGGTGCCCCTGGGGGAGCCAGCACAGCGGGCAGGAGTGTTCTCCTGCACTGATTTGGGTCACCCCAGACCTTCTGCTGAGAAACTGGGACATCTCATCCCACTTCTGGGCAGGGACCCTGGAGCTGCTGGTTCCTGTTGGATACACAGGGGACCTGGGGGACAAACACAGGCTATCAGTGTGACACCATCAGGACTGCTGTGCCCTCTTCAAATGAACCTCCTGCTGCGTGTTGCACACTGCTGCCTCTCTGGGGGAGCTCAAGGGGTTTGCTTTGGGGTGGACATCACCTGGGCAGCTGATGGGGGCAACAATAGATCCACAAAGGAGCCTGGAACTGTTTTAAGCTGGGTTTGCCCTGCAGGACTGTGGGAGCCCAGGCTGTGCTGCCTCCTGCCCTGGCTCATCTCTCGAGGTGCTCTTGGGGAACCACCTCGTGCAAGGGCTGATGACCAAAGGGACCCAGAAATCTGCCGTGTGTGTGTCAGTCCTCAGCCCTGCCTGGGTTGCTGGTGCAGGTGCTGCCACGGTTTTCCAGGGGTGGATCTTGCCCTGGTGCCTGATGGTGCCATCCCCCCCGGGCACCCCGGCGGTGCCTCCCACCCCGGTGCGGCAGGTGGAGGGAACCCCCGATGCTGGTGGGATGCCGGTGATGGGGTGTGCAGGGGTTGTTTCCGGGTGCCGGGGGGAATTTGGCACCTGGCCCTCCTGCCGGGCTGGGCCGGGGGAGAAGAAAGGCGGAGCCCTGCGGCGCCGGCAGGAGATTCAATTACCCCCGTGCTCACACAATGGCCGTTCATCTCCGGGAGCAAAACCCTGGTAACCAGCAGGGCAGAGCGTGAAGGGCTGATTAGAGAGTGTGCGGGGCCGGGGGCCGGGGTCGCGTGCAGGCACTTCCCTCCCCATTCCCAGGGCTTTCCGCGGTAACGGCCCCTGTTTCCCTCCGTTGTTAGGACGTCACTCGCACGCGGCTCGAACGGCATCTGTCAAAACATATCCCCCCGTCCTTGGTGCTGCTGGGGAAGAGGGATCCATCGCCCCGGAATGAGCCTGACATCAATTAATCATCAGCCTTAAAAATTAGCATCGTGGCAGCACACGTTGGAGGGAAACGATTCCCCAGATGGAAGCAAAAATAGCCTCGGTTATCTCCCTCCTCCCGGGGGAGGAGGCAACAATAGATCCACAAAGGAGCCTGGAACTGGTTTAAGCTGGAGCCCGGGCTGTGCTGCCTCCTGCCCTGGCTCATCTCTCCAGGTGCTCTTGGGGAACCACCTCAAAGACCCTCCCTGGGTCTGGTCCTGCCTGCAGCCCGACCTCATGGGTTGGGCATCCCTGGGCTTTGCAGAGAGCCCAGAGTGAGCTCACGAGTGCTGAGCCCCTTCCTGAAGCTGAGGATTTGGAGAGCAGCACCTCAGGAGCCTCGTTCTTCTGGAGCAAGGGATGCTCATCCCCAGCTGGTGCTGCTGGGCTAGGATGGGGCTTCAGCCAGTGCCTCAAGGATGTGACTCACTCTGGGGGGCTGTCACTTGTCCCTCTCCAGGGTGACAGCTCTGAGCAGGCTTGGTGCCCACGGCAGCTTGGTTAAGTGCCTTGCAGCTCCAGTATTGATGAGCTTGGAGGTCTCCAGAGACCCCCTGTTGGGAAGTGACTTGGGCACCTTCCTGGAGGTTCATGGTGGCCTGAACTTTGTGCCCATGTCATGCTGGGATTTTCCATACTTGGAGCTGCTCTCCCTTACTCCCAGGCAAGCTGTGACCTGAGGGAGCAGCCCAGAGCCTCCTGCAGCTTTCGTTCTCCCCCCTGTTACTGCGTGAGGTGAAAACCCTCCAGCACCAGCTGCGTTTCGGGGCTGTCTCTGATCAGCAGCTCAGTGCAGAGCAGCTCCGCGGGCTGCGGCTGCTGGGGGAGCCAAGGAGGACATTTTACACTCTTGCTGGAGACACGTGAGGGCTCTTTGGCCGATCTGGTGATGGACAGACAGACCAAGTGTCTACCAGAGCCCAGCTGAGGCCGGGGAGAATTGTGTTTGCAACGCATTGCTCTGCACAAAGCTCACAGTCACAAGGCCAGGGGGACAAAAGGCTCCCTGTTTGCTCTGTCCCAGTGGGTGCAATTCCAACAGTTAAAAAGCAAATGTGAGTTGTTTGTCTCTGTGAATATAAAGCTTCCCCAAGCATGGCCGTGTTTTGGCTGAGAATGGGGAGTTTGGCTCCACTAATGACTGTTCTCCCTGCAAAACAGAGCCAACTGGAGCCAAGAGCTGCCCAGCCGGGCCCTTCCCTGCCGGTCCTGGTACAGGGATGTGGGCTGAGGAGGGGACAGGCTCCTGGGTCTGATAAATGCCCTTTCAGCCAGGCCTGGGTGCCTGGTGGAGAGCAGGGGGTGGGATGAGCATGGGGACCTCTGCCTGCTGTGCTGCTGGGGGTGATTGCCACCCTCCAGCATCCTGCCAGTGATCAGGATCTTCTCCCGTGCCCACGGGGTTGGGTGTCCTCAGCAGAAGGCAGGATGGGCTGGCTCCCTTGAGTCGTCTAGTCTGAGGATTTGGGGCATCTCACTGCAAGTCATAGAATCATAGAATCATCCTGGTTGGAAGGGAACTTAAAGACCATCAAGTCCAACCATAACCTAACTCCCTCCACCATAACATGATTTACCCATTCAGTGCTTAAATCATGTCCCTAAGCACTATTATCTGTATTTCTTTTAAACACTTCCAGGGATGGTGACTCCACCACCTCCCTGGGCAGCCTGTTCCAGTGTCCAACCACTCTTTGGGTAAATAAATTCTTCCCAATATCCAGTCTAAACCTCTCCTGGTGCAGCTTCAGGCCATTTCTCTGGTCCTGTCATTATTCACTTGGGAGAAGAGCCCAACTCCCACCTCCCTACAACCTCCTTTCAGGGAGCTGTAGAGAGCAATGAGGTCTCCCCTCAGCCTCCTCTTCTCCAAACTAAACCATCCCAGTTCCTTCAGCCTCTCCTCATAGGACTTATTCTCCAGACCTTTCACCAGTTTGGTAGCTCCTCTGG